TAATGGAAGTGTTCTTGACGCCTAATATATCTTCTTGAAGATCTTTTGAAAGGGCGGCCAATTTCTTACAACGGCTGTTTTTATTTTTATTTTTTGGGTTTTTTCGGTTTCCATATATATAATTATATACTAGTTTTAGATAATAAACATATTTCATTTTTAAATTTTGATCAATTAGAAAAAAATAAAATAATAATTGTTTATTATTATAAACAATTGTTAATTTTCATTATAATAACAGTCTAATTATTATTATTATTACAAAAACAATTGTTTACAAGATTTTAAATTTGTTTCATTGTGCTATTAAAACTATTTACTAATTGTTTTTAAAGAATTTTTTCATGAGAGTATAAAAGAAAAAAGATAATATTAATGTTAAAATAAATAAATTGAAACAATTGTTCATAATTATATAATTTATATTTATTGTGAATTATTATTAGTTGTTATTGACATTAATTATTAATACTAATAATTATCATGTGCAAATGCACAGATGTACATAAAATATTATAAGTAATATGTGTAAATTTAATATTATAACTACAGATAATATACATATCACAATTTCAAGGTATGTGAATTTAATATTAAAATTCTAGATAATGGACGTACCACATTTTCAAGATTTAATCATTAGTAAAAATAAAATAATATTGATATAAGTTATTTGAGTACATATGAATCACTATATTGATTAACAAAATTTGTAGGTAATGTAGCTTTTATAATTTGGAGGGATCACAGTCTAATAATTTACTTGAAAACTTATTATTATTATTATTATTATTATTATTATTATTATTACTATTATTATTATTATTACTATTATTATTATTATTATTATTATTATTACTATTATTATTATTATTATTATTATTATTATTATTATTATTATAATTATTACAATGACAATTTTTTATAAGATTTTAAAGGTTTTTTTTACTATACTATTAAAACTATTTACTAAATGTTTCTAAAGAAAATTGTTTCATGAAATACAAAATTAAACAATAATAATAATAATAAATATATTGAAACAATAGAATTGTTTTTACTTATATTTTGATTGTGGTTGAGCTTATTATTAAAAGGGGAAAGACCGGTAAGAGTTGCAAGAAAGTAATTTATATTTAGTGTGAATTATTATGAGTTGGTAAAAGCATGAACTATTATATAATATAATAGCAAAAAATACATGATTACACTTAATAGGGTGTATTAATGTGAAAGGCAAAATATGATTGACAAATTTTGTAACTTATTTTTGGAGGGAAAATAAATGAGGTTTTAGTAATTATGTTTTATTTATTAGGTAAAATTAATTGGTTAGCTAGCAATTATATATATATAGATAATAGATAAAGTATACATGATTACACTTCATATGATATACTAATATGAGAAGTAAAAGTATATTGATAATAATTTTTGTAGCCGAAAATGAAGGGAAAAATTTAGAGGTTTTATTTATGAGGTTTTCTTAAATGCCATAGCTAGTAATTACATACACTAGTGATCATCTCGTGCATTTGCACTGAGAAAAAAACGTACAAAGATAACAATATATAAAAACAAATCTTCGATGAAAAGTAAAAAAATATAAAAAAAAATATATGGTCAATCTTCAATGTCTTGTCGATGTCATGGTATTTTTTTGGCATTTTCTTTGAAATTTTTTTGACGGTCAAAAGAGCCATAGAAAGTCGA